AAATGTAAAATTGCACCTGTGGCAAATAATACAAAGAAAAAGTAGGTGATTCTGAGGGCTTCCAAAAGGAGAATTTGCCTTAGTTAGGGAGCTCAGTGAAGGCTTCCCTTAGGAAGGAATTGCTAAACTGCATCCTGAGAGAACAGAAAGGATTATCAGGTAGAGAATAGCCTGTGCAAAGGCCCCACAGCAGGTGAGAGCATGGCAAAGATGCGAACAGTAAACAGATGATGTGAAGATGCAGTATAATACAAATAGAGGCTGATGGGTAGACGGGCTACATAGATCATGACAGTTTTGTCTTTAACCTAAGAACAATGGGGAATCATCGAAGGTGTTTAAGCAAAGAGTAAAATAGTTACAGCTTAGTATTTTGAAAAGACTAGCGTAGCTACAGTGGAGAACAGATTGGAAGAAGCTAGACATGTTAGGAAATGAGAGATGGTAGAAACTTAGAGTTGCTGTGGAAATAAAGTGAGGAGACACTCTGGAGAGCTTTTTGGGAAATCAAGTGTACAGAACTTGGTGGTGAGTTGGATATATGGAGCATTTGAAGAAGGAGTGGTCAAGAAAGATTCTCTGGGTTCTGCCTTGCATAACAGAAAAAGAGTCACATTCAACGGAGTGGGAGAAGATCATGAGTATTGGTCTTGAAAAGTTTGAGGTGGCTTTGTAGTGTTCCAGAGAAAATATTAAATGGACAATTGGATATATAAAGCCAGAACTCAATAGACAGAAGGATGTGGGTGACTTCAGCATATTGGTTACGTGGTCACTTAAGCTGACATCATGAACGAGACTGCCTAGATATGGAAGGAGAGAGTGTATAATGAAAATGCTCAATGTAGTTTCCCACAAAATCTGGTTCTTCCTGTCATGTACAGATGATTTTTCCTTCCTCGGTGTAACAGATGTTTTACTATTTTCATCAGCGTGGCTATTCTTTTTCTGTAAAGGGTCTGCACATAAATGGAGTCCATGGTGGGTTACAGACAACTGTTTTTCTAGCCATGATTTTACAGTCTGCTGTGCTCCAGGGAAGGAAACAAATAATGTTTGAAAGGAATAAATGCAGATTATAGAAAAGGAAGCAAGCGAATTGATTCCTGAAGGTCTGCCACAGAGACACCTATCTACTCCTGTTCCCCAAAAGAAACTGTATGCTCAGAAAACATGGTGATGCACCTGGAGAGGTTTTATAGCCACTGTCACTACACAGATTATCTTTGGGCTTCTTCTCAATTAAATAGGTTCTTTCTATGGGCTGACTCAGGCAACAGTCCACCAGGTATAGCTCTGTTTTTTTTGTTTGTTTTTTTTTTTATGAGATGTGTTGTTCTCCAGTCTCAAAGGCAACTTTTCGAAAACACCTTGTTTACACATGGGGGATTTCTATGGTCAGAAGTTTGTGGGACACCTGGGTGGCTCAGTCAGTTAAACGTCGACTCTTGATTTTGCCTTAGGTCATGATCTCACCGGTTTGTGAGATTGAGCCCCACGGTCAGGCTCTGTGCTGACAGTGTGGAGCCTGCTTGGGATTCCCTCTCCCTCTTTGCCTCTCCCCTGCTCATGTTCTCTCTCTCAAGATAAATAAATATGAAAAAAGTTTTTTAAATGTTTGTTACTTGTAGAGTGAGAGATTCATGCAGGATCTGGGAGCCTGCAAAGATGTAGAATCACAAAGTCATTAGAGAGCAGTCAATAAGGTAAGATGCTGCAAAGGAGTGAAATTTAGGAAGTCCAAGATTGGCAAGGTTTGGCTTAGTGATAAGGTTAGCAGTGCCTATTCAGAAGCACCAGGCTGCAGGAATGCTCAGTGATTGAACAAGCACAGCCAGTGGCCTAGACCAAATAAGGTCCGAGGATCAGCAGCATCAGCATCAGGAATGCAAAATCTCAGCTTCTTCCCCAGACCACACATATCAGAATCTGCATTTAATGAATGGGATCCCTAGGTGATTCTTTTTTTATGTTTATTTATTTATTTTGAGAAAGGGAGAGAAATTTTGTGTGCATGAGCAGGGGAGGAGCAGAGAGAGAGGGAGGGACAGAAGGGGCTCAATCTCTCGACCACAAAATCATGACCTGAGCAGATATCAAGGGTCAAAGACGCTTAAATGACTGAGCCATCCAAGTGCTCTGAGATCCTTAGATGGTTTTTAAGCACATCATCTTAAACAGTTTGAGAAACACTGCTGTCTACTACTATATCAGGAGGTGTAGGGATGGTAGGTTAGAGACAGGATAAAAGCCATTAAGAGAGGGAGAGACTGGAAATGTAAATGCAAAACAAAGAAGATTGCAGAAAGAGAAGGCCTGTGGAAAAGCAAAAAGATCAAGAGAACTGATTAATTTGAAAAAAAGAGGTGGGACTCTTCCTTTGTTGAAAAAATAGGAAAGAGGATGAAGAAGTGTGAGACCAAAGGCAGAAAACTGAGAAACCTCCATGGGCAATGACCCAGTTCTCTCCAGTAAAATTGATCGCAAAGTTAAACACCGAGGACAAAGAGGTCTTAAGCCAAACAATACTCCATAATTTAAATTCACAGATCTCTAGTTTAACATTTACTTTTGGTTAACATTTCTTTGCTTTTCCTTTAACTCCTTTAAATAAGTATGCTTCAGTGGATTAAAATTTTAAATACTTCACTGGCCATTTACAACAAAACTTCCATTTCTACAAGTAGCTTGATAAGCCATGAACTTCATTAGGGCCAACATTATATACCTTGATGACATATTAAGTCAAATAAATATCATGGTTGCAAAAATGGATAAAAACTTGAAAGAACAATAACATTAAAAAAATCTTTACCTATGGTTTTTATGTCTGTGAAGTTTGCTAAATCAATAAAATGATCTGAAAAGTTCATCTCACAGTCAGATATATTAGTGATTTACTTCATTGGTTTTCTGATGACCATTTATCATGAGGTTAAAGCATCTTCAGAATGAATAGTGGAAATAAAAAATTTGATGTGCTTGCCTCTTAGATAAACTAAATATCTGATTTATAAGACACAAACGAACAAACCACTATGGCCTGTCATGTTTTTCCAGTTTCTAATTTATTCAACCTCTGCTCAATATTGATCCTGACAAGCAGAGTAACCCAAAGATAAATTTATTCACTCTACAGTTTAGTCAGAAACAAGCCAAAAATTATAGATTTTCCCAGGCAGATGATGACAAGCAGTCAGGGGGATGACAAATGGCTGTCTTTAGATTTAGTTAGGACAGTTAGACCAGACATTTCCAATAAAGATTGCATGCTGGTCAAATACAGGTTCATCAGTGGCCATCATTAATTGTAGAGCAAGCACTGCCAGTTCCTGCAAGCGCCTGCACAGGAGCTTGGGCACCAGCCCTGCATGGAAAATAGAATCAGCTCCTCAGTATTTCACAGCACACCTCTAAGTGATAGCATGACATGATCATTTATCAAACAGAGACTGTCCAGAAGAGTGTCTGCTCCCTTTAGTAACATTGAAGGGCAGGAAAGTGAAAGCATTTTATTAAAGACAGGAAGGCAATGAACTACCAGAGCGTATCCAAAGGGTAATCATATTTCAGCACAGGATTAGTTTAGTCTTAAATAAACATACACTGGAGGGAGTAGGTTGAGAGTCATTTATCAAGTGAGGAACAATTAACAAAACTCTACAGGACTCTCTTTATCTATACAAATTTTAAGTTCTCTTATTGTTATTAGTTAGCTTTTGGGATGATGGGCATCATATTCAACACTACAAAAATGCATTGCACAATTCCTTCCTTAGAGGTTTTTAGACTAAGAGAAATACCGTGAAACTCTCACATAAAATAATCGTGGCTGTATCAAATGCTGTTGAACAAATGTTGTGGAGAGGGCATAATCCAGAGCCCAAGATTGAAGGATGAAGTTACAAATTCTGAAGAGAACTTTATTATAAGAAGTCAACTACTAGACAGTCAGAGGTACAACATGTTTTGCTCTTTATTGACCAAAATTAAGAGAAAGGTTATTAGCTAAAAGGTGGTAGGGCAGACAAAAAGAAAATTAATATATTTATTACTTCCCTTCTTTGTTCCAGACACTTTATATGCCACAGCAACTAATCCTAACTATTCGCACTGTATAAATGAGGACACGGATTTGGCTAAGGTTATACAGTAAGCAGTACTGCCAGGAAGGATGGGGTTGTCTGTATTTTTTTAAATTCCTATATATTTTTCACAAATTATTTATTTCGATACCTCAGAGTCTAGTACAGAACTTAGCCCATGATTCATAAGTATTTTGTTAAATAATGAAGTGGGTAGAATTGGAAAGATTTTTACCATTTTATGTAGAAAAACATTGACCTCAGGAAGACTGAGAGACCCACCATGTGCTCTGCACTAGGTCCTAGTAATTATTCCCCTAAAATACCATTTCTTCATGTAGATAGAGGCACACATCTGGATGTTCCAAATTTGTTACCTCCATTATATCACAGAGTTTTGTGGAGATTTTTTTTTTTCATGTAAGCTCTATGCCCAAAGTAGGGCTTGAGCTCACTACCCCAAGATCAAGAGTCACATACTCCACCAACTGAGCCAGCCAGGTGACCCCTGTGGGGATTTTTAATATGTGGAAAGGAACTCATAGTTTTAAAAAAAAATCTGAAATTTAAAGAATAAAATGCAGCCTTATCAAAAGAAATTTTTCCAGGGCACCTGGGTGGGTCAGTCATTTAAGCATCTGATTTCAGCTCAGGTCATGATCTTGCAGTTCATGGAGTTTGAGCCTCCAGTTTGAGTCTCAAGTCCAGCTCTGTGCTGACAGCTCAGAGCCTGGACCTTGCTTCCGATTCTGTGTCTCCCTCTCCGTCTGTCCCTCCCCCTCCCACTCTCTCTCTCAAAAAATAAATAAAAAACAACAAAAAATTCTAATATAAAAAATTAAAAGTTAACTGATATGAAAGAAATACTGATGATTATGAAATACTTGTGTCTTGTTTTTTCTTTTCTAATTATAGGATTTGGAATTTTTACTGAACAAGCTGATGAAGCTGTGGAAAATGGATCTAAATGGAAATCCTGTTTGTCTCAAACCCAAATACAGAGACAGACTGATATTGGTGTCCAAATCACTGGGTACACATTTATATTATATTAATATAATTTTCTTAGAGAAAGAGACCTGGTTAATTTTTAGTTACTTTAACAGGAAACTTGAGAAATACAAATATAACATCTAAATCTATAAAAATAGTCAACTTAAAATTCAATAAATTAAATAAAAGTGAAAGTTAAAACAGAAATAAAAGATGAAAAAATATCTTCTGTTCAGAAATAATTGAGGCAACATATGCCCTTTCTTTAAAAATGGTTAGTCATAAATGTGTAGAACTTGCTGACCTTTTGCCAAATTCTTACAGGCACAGATCCTCTGAAGATCCCAAGAGAGTCTTTAGCTCTTGGATCTGTATATAAAAATAATCAAAATTTTAATTGCTTGACAATTATTAAGAAGGTACAGGGGTTCACTTCATTTGAAAGGAAAGCAAGGTAGGGAGTCCCTTTATGAGATCCTCAGAAATAACAACATTCTGACTGGGCAGTATACTGGGGGTAATGGGCCATATCTTCTCAGTAGGGACCAAGGCAGTCATCAGAGAGACCAGGACTGTCTTCTCACAAAGGGTATTTGTGGGAAGGTTTCCTATATATGAACTTTTATGACATGCTATACTTGAGTATAAAAGTAATGTATGGCAAAACCATTTCAAAGCTCATAGCTGTAGTGAACCTTGATTAATCACGATGCTAGTGCAGCAGTTCTCTTAGTGGAGGGAGGGGTTGACAGAGGGTGTATCAGAAAATCCAAGATTTTTCAAAATACATATCCAAGGGTCACACCTTGCCCATCACCCTTGACCCTACCAGTCAAAGGAAGGAAACAGAATACACGGGGAGAACAGTCATGTGTATTTTTTATACGTCATACAAAAGAATCTGCAGGGCACCTTCCCCCAACTCTCCATCTCCTTTCCTCCACACACAATTGTTATTACTCCGCTTTCCTTAGGAAGCAGAGTAAATATAACTAACGTTAGATGATTGAGAACCTTCCAATGTTGGGGCGCCTGGGTGGCTTAGTCGGTTAATCGTCCGACTTTCGCTTAGGCCATGATCTCACGGTTCGTGGGTTCGAGCCCCGCGTCGGGCTCTGTGCTGACTGCCAGCTCGGAGCCTGGAGCCTGTTTCAGAGTCTGTGTCTCCCTCTCTCTCTGACCCTCCCCTGCTCGCGCTGTCTCTCTCTCTCTCTCTCTCTCCCTCTCCCTCTTAGAAATAAATAGAACATTAAAACAATTAAAAAAAAAAAGAACCTTCCAATGTTAATGGAACGATTTCTGGAAACTCTTTTCATGATATGGTACTGTAGGTGATACAATGAAAGATGTGGAGATAAGGCACTGATTTCCAAATAAATAGGACTTAGTCAAACATTTTAAAATAAATATTTTCTAAGACAGATTTTGTGATTATAAAATTCATACACATTTTATATAAAAATATACATTTCTTATAGAAATGCAGATAATATAGAAAAGAAAATGAATACCTTCATAATCCTACCATAAATCTGCTGTTAACACTTTGGTATACATCCTTTCAGTCTCTTCTCTTTGATTCCAGCTTGTCTTTTTTTCACATTTTCTCCTAAATACAAAACCAAATTACAAAAAGTGAATTGAGGACCTGGTTTGATATGTCCCAGTAAGGACTGTGAGGGTGGGGGGGGGCATCTCATGCTTTGTAAGTAACCCAGTCCTCCCCCAAACAGAATGACAAGCCACATATTTCGTTTACGTAGCATGGGTAGAACAAATTTTATGTTAAGAACAACTCATTAAAACAAATCTCATAGGTCTCTGATCTTATATCCATTACCTGGCTTCACCTCCTGAACCACCTCTACATGATCATTTGCTTAAAGATGAAATAAGGCTTACTGAGGTATAGCATCCTAGTAATTTCTCAGCTCTGTCTGGAACACGTAACATGAGGAAAAAGAGATCATGGTAAAGGACTTGGATTTTTCACTCCTTATCTTTATAATGGATGTTTTAAAAACATGTATTGATTTACACATATCACATCCAAAAAGACACTAACAAATTATACAATTATTAATAAAAATAAATCTTAAAAGGTATCAATAAATCCAAGTGGTTGGGAAAACTGAGCATAAAATAATGACCTTTAATGTAAAGTGCTAAGTACTAAGATGCTTGATAATATAACATTTAACCAATTTCTTCCATTATAATTTGAAGAGTACTAATTTCAGCTAAAATAAGTACATGAGACAAAGTACAGAAACAATTATACTACTAAGGTTTGTAGTTCTACTTTATATTTTCAGTTGCACAAGTTTATTTTGTACTTAGGGTCTAACGATATCATGAGTCATATTTAAGTGGCAATGTTAATACTTTTCAGTACTGCAGTCAAGGATACTGTCAGGATACTGTCATAACGATATTATGAGTCATGTTTAAGCAGCAATGTTACTACTTTTAGTGGTACAATCAAGGATATTTTATCAGAATACTGTCATTTGCTCTTTAAGAATATGATTTAAAATCTTTTACTACATTCTTTTCTCATTCTGGAATCCAGTGGAAGACATTACATGGATGATAGGAGAAAATATATATTTAATTTAAAAACTACTATATAGAGGGCACATGGGTAGCTCAGTCAGTTGAGCTTCTGACTCTTGATTTCAGCTCAGGTCATGATCTAACAGTTCACGGGACGGAGCCCTGCATCTGGCTCTCCACTGACAATGAGGAGCCTGCTTAGGATTCTCTCTCTCCCTCTCTCTCTGCCCCTCCCTGTTCATACTCTCTCTCTCTCTCAAAAGAAATAAACATTAAAAAGGCCCAAAATCTACTATATAAAAAGATAGTCTTTTTATCAAGTGAAGGCTACCTGTATTCATGTGATTACATGTAACACAAAATGTCCTATAAGGGCATATATTTTATAATATATGTATTCTATATACACATATAATGGAATACTGTCAGCCATTAAAAATTGTGTTTAAAGAAAGACACGGTAAAATGATCACAATATTAAAAATTAGAATGTAATACTGCATAGAGTTCCAATTTTATATAATATACACACATGCATAGTTACATAAGCAGAAAACAAAAAATGTTGAAAATATACTGTTAGTGGCCTTCAGTGATTATTTCTGGTTGTAGAATATAGGAAATATTGTTTTCTTTTTCCACTTTTGTATTTTCCAAATATCTTACAGCATACAAAAATTTTTTGTGTAATTTAAGATGCTCAATTTTCAAAACTTTTTTAGAGGAACAAAATATAAACATAGTTGAAATCTTCACAGGACCAAGAAGCTCGCTGTGTGGGTTGTTCCTATTATATCTATATCCTAGAATATAATAAGCATTATTAATATATGTGCTTTTAAAATACCATGCTAGGGACACCTGGGTGGCTTAGTCGGTTAAGCGTCCGACTTTCACTTAGGTCATCATCTCGCGGTTCGTGGGTTCGAGCCGTGCGTCGGGCTCTGTGCTGACTGCCAGCTCAGAGCCTGGAGCCTGTTTCAGAGTCTGTGACTCCCTCTCTCTCTGACCCTCCCCTGCTCACGCTGTCTCTCTCTCTCTCTCCTAGAAATAAATAAAACATTAAAAAAAATTTTTAAAAAAATAAATAAAATACCATGCTAAATGTACAAAACTTCTTATTCACTTTAATATAAAATATATATTGTTTTTTACTAAGAATAATAACCATAATATGGAAATGAATAGACAGTATCTAATTTTTGTTGAATATTACAACATTTTTGTTTTTAAAGACAACACTATAATTTACATAAGATCCCAGAAGGGAAACCATACATCAAATTGTTTACAGTGATTATCTTTGCCAGTGATGGAAAGAAGAGGTATGGGTAGTAATTGTAGTCTTTTTATGTTTTTTTCCACTATGTTTCAGTTGTTTATCATCAGCACATATCTTTTTTTGAAATCAGAAAAAAAAATAATTAAAAATAAATAAAAAGGAACAAAAATGTGCAAGTAAGGTATTTTCTTTAAAAAGTTACTTCAACTTATGGTGTAATTTAAGTTCAGAAATATATATATGGATATTACCTATATATTTATATATTGTATTTCTTAACATGTATTTCTAGAATTTCTTGATGGAAAAGAAATTAAAAATATGGAAAGACAATTCCTTATAAATTGGAAAGCATCAAAAGATGCCAAGAAAATCAGCAAGAAAAAGAACAGTAAAAACGAGGATGCAAGTAACTCATACATAAGTAAGCAGATTGTCATTCATTTGTTGACCACTTCTACTAGCAAAGGGAATGTTCTACTCAGCAAAAAAATATACCAAGAAATAAGAAACTTTTGTTTAGATTTTTTGCTTAAGATTTTGGGTTTTTTAAAAACTTATTTACAATTCCTAAGAAATTCTACCTGTAATGTTTACATATGAAAATGGTAGCTACTGTCAACAAAAGCTGTTCATATTGAGTCTGACTGTGTCCGTATGAAAACAGCCATGCGGGTGGAGGAAAATATTAATTTTATATCTGGCAAAAGTACATAGCTTAATTATGTAAATGGTGAAACAACAATCAGCTATGTAAATTGTGAAACCTAAGTCACTAGTATATTTGTTTAGCAGCAGTGCAAAAATCACATTTTCCATCAGGATAAAAAATAAAAATGTAGGACAGCCACATCTGTGGCCTATACTCTGTAGCCTGTCCCTTTCTTATGTACACGGCCCAACACTTGAATGTTTGATTACAATGTGCTTAAGGTAACATACGTTACATTTTCTTTTTTCTTTAATGTTTTATTCTATTTTTGATAGACAGAGTGCAAGTGTGGGAGGGGCAGAGAGAGACGGAGAGAAGAATCCAAAGCAGGCTCCAGGCTCTGAGCCATCAGCACAGAGCCCAGTGCAAGGCTTGAACTCATGAACCGTGAGATCATGGTATGAGCCCAAGTCAGACGCTTAACCACTGAGCCACCGAAGCACCCCAAGTTTACATCCATTACAAAGGACAGATCAGCCTCCCTTGCCTAACTAATGCAACTAAATGTAGCTAAGTGTAACATGTAACAATTATCTCCAACCTACTTGGAAGCACCTCAGAAATCATTCTTCACAGATTCTGTAGTCCACGACATCGGAATAAGCCTCTTCCTCTGTTCCACGATAGTATTTGAATGCTAATAGGCCTCGTTGCTCGGCTAATGGGACGGGATCACAGAAGGGGTTAGGCCAGGGGAATACGGAAGGGGACTGGAAGAGCACAGCGGGGCTCTGTGTGGGCACCGTACCCTAGGGGCTCTGCGGATCCAGAGCGAGGAGGCTGCGGTGAGGGGAAGCAGAGGTAGAAAGGCATGGAGCTCCGATGAGTTTGCTTTATCGCGTCCACTGAATATGAACTATGGGAAATCATTTTGAAGAATAGGACTTTCTGAACTGAGAGTATACTCATGAGTGATGATACTGTGCTGGCAATATGAATTTTTCAAGGTCTGAAACCTATAAAATGAACAGGAAGCATTTCTTCTCCTCTATTTACCCCTGGCTATTTTTGAAGGACAGAACCAGATCCAGGATAAAAATTCCGGTATTTTACATATTTTCAGTTTTATACCAAAGATGCCAAAGTACTTTCTTAATACTGGAGTATTCACAGAATTCAATACCAGTTCTCACCCCAAAATTTAACCTATTCCCAAAATAGTGCAGTTTCCTCCATCTTAATATATTTAAAAAATTCTTCCCACTTCAGAAATAATTAATCTTTTTTAACTTCTCCAATGAAAGTCAACAAAGTAACAATTATAATGTACCCTAAAATTGACACTTTAAGAAAATTACACTGTCAGGGCGCCTGGGTGGCTCAGTAGGTTAAGCATCAACTTTAGCTCAGGTCATGATCTCATGGTTGTTGTGTTCAAGCCCTGTGTCAAGCTCTGTGCTGACAGTTCAGAGCCTGGAGCCTGCTTCAAATTCTGTGTCTCCATCTCTCTCTGCCCCTCCCTTGCACTCCGTCTCTCTCTCACTCTCTCTCTCAAAAATAAATATACATTTAAAAAAATTTTTGAATTACACTCGCATCTGATTTTCTCAATAAAATAATCATTAATTTCTTCATAATCTAGTGTGAACACTAACTTTAAAAAGCAATCTTTAGAGCCATATACAGTAACAACAAACTATCTTAAAAGGAAAATTAAAAAACAATCCTATTTACAATAGCACAAAAAAGAATAAAGTACCTACAAATAAATTTAACTAGGAAGGTAAGAAAAAAAAGATGGAAGAACTGTATACTGAAAACAACAAAACACTAATAAAAGAAATTAATACACAAACAAATGGAAAGACATCCTGTGTTCATGAACTGGAAAACTTAGTATTATTAAAATGTTCATAATAACCAAAACAGTTGACAGATTCAGTATAACCCCTATCAAAATCTTAATGGCACTTTCACAGAATTGAAAAAAACAATTCTAAAATATATATGGAACTATACAGGACCACAAATAGCCAAATCAACCTTGAAAAAAAAGAACAAAGCTGTAGGTATCACACTTCCTGATTTCAAAATGTATTACAAGATACAGTAATCAAAACGGTATAATACTAGCATAAAACAGGCACACAAATAAATGGAACAGAATAGAAAACTCAAAACTAAATCCATCTATAAATGCTCAACTGATTTTCAACAAGGGTGCCAAGAATACACAGTAGGGAAGGATAGTGAAGTGTTGAGAAAATTGGATATCCACATGCAAAAGAACCCTTATCTTATACCATTCACAAAAATCTACTCAAAATGGATTAAAGACTTAAACCTAAGGCCTGAAACTAGAAAACTCTAGAAGAAAAAATAGGAGAAACGTTTCATGACCTTGGTCTTGGCAATGATTTCACGGATATGACACCAAAAAGCACAAGCAACAAAAACAAAACAAACAAGTGGTAGGTACTACATCAAACTAAAAAGCTCATGCAAGGCAAAGGAAATAATCAACAGAGTGAAAAGAAAACCTACAGAATGGGAGAAAATACTTGCAAACTATGCATCTGATATGGGGTTAAGCTCCAAAATATATATAGAACTACTACAACTCAACAGCAAAGAAAACTAATAACCACATTAAAAAATGGGCTAGGGACCCAACAAGCATATCTCCAAATGGCCTAAAGGTATATTTTTAAAATGCTCAATGTCGTTAATCAACATGGAAATGCAAATCAAAGCCATAATGAGATATCACGACATACCCGTCAGATGGCTATTATCAAAAAAACAAAAGACAAGAGGAGTTGGTGAGGATGTAGAGAAATTTGAGCCCTTGTACACTGTTGATGGCGATGCAAAATGCTGCGGCCACTATGAAAACTAGTATGATAGTGCATCAAAATTTAAAAATAGAACTATCATGCGATCTAGCAATTCCAGTTTTCTGTATTCATCCAAAGGAACTGAAGTTAAGATCTTGAAGAGACATTAGCAATCCTGTGTTTGCTGCAGCACTATTCACAATAGCCAAGATGTAGAAACAACCTAAATGTCCATTGACAGATGAATGGATAAAGAAAACATGATATATACATACAATAAAATACTATTCAGCCTTTAAAAAGAAGGAAATTCTGCAACATGTGTCAACATGATGACATTATGCTAAATAAAATAAGCCAGTCACAGAAAGACAAATACTGTATGATTCCACTTATATGAGGTATCCAAAACAGTCAAATTCATAGAATCAAAGAGTAGAATGGTGGTTGCCAGAGGCTGGGGTATAGAGGAAATGGGGAATTATTCATCAAATTTCAGTTAAGCAAGATGAATAAGCTCTATAGATTTACTGTACCTATTTATTGTACCTATGACCAAAAACGATTACTTAAGAATTTGTTAATGAGGTAAATCTCATGTTAACTGTTCTTACCACATGCATTTAAAAAAAAAAAAAAGGTTCTCTACAGCAAAGGAAACAAAAGTGAAAGATGATCTACTGAATAGAAGATATTTGCAAATGATATATCCAATAAATGTTTGGTATTCAAAATATATAAAGAACTTATACAAGTCAACACCAAAAAACCAAATAATCCAATTAAAAAATGGGCAGAAGATATAAACAGACATTTCTCCAAAGAAGACATACAGATGACCAACAGACACATGAAAAGATACTCAACATTACTCATCATCAGGGAAATGCAAATCAAAACTACAATGAGGTATCACCTGATACCTGTCAGAATGGCAAGAATAAAAAAGATAAGAAACAATAAGTGTTGGCAAAGATGTCAATAAAAAGGAATTCTCGTGCACTGTTGGTGGAAAAACAAACTGGTGTACCCAATGTGGACTACTGTATGGATGTTCCTCAAAAAGTTAAAAAAAAATCATACTACAAAACAGGAAAACACTAATTCAAAGGGATATATGCACCCTTATGTTTATTGCAGCATTACTTACAGTAGCCAAATTATAGAAGCAGTGTCCATTGATAAATGAATGGATAAAGATGTGGTGTATATATACAATGGAATATTATTCAGCCATAAGAAAGAATGAAATCTTGCCATTTGCAACAACATGGATGGAGCTAGAGAGTATAATGCTAAGCAAAATAAGTCAGTCAGAGAAAGACAAATACCATATGATTTCACTCATGTGGAATTTAAGAAACAAAAGAGCAAAGGGAAAAAAAAAAAAGAGAGACAAACCAAAAAACAGACTCTTCACTACAGAGAACAGACTGATGGTTACGAGAGGGGGAATGGGTGGGGAAGATGGGTGTAACACGTGAAGGGGATCAGAATGCACCTACATGGGGAGCACTGAGTAATGTACAGAATTGTTGAATTGTACACCTACATTGTACACCTGAAATTAGTATAACACTGTATGCTATCTGGAATTAAAATTTAAAACTGAATAAAATTTAAATCAAAAAAATTTTAACTCCTCTAACCATAAATTTTTTAAAAAGCCAAATAGAATGTTACATAGTACAAAAGTATCATTTCACACCTTATCGTAGTTGTTTTTATAATAATCATTAATAATTTAAAATAGGAAGCACAGCAATCTAGGAAACAGAGAAAAGGGGCAAGGGAAGAAAAGAGAGGTAATTCTTACTGTATTAAACATTTCAGATATTTATAAACATCACTGCATTTAATCACTATAACCTATGGGGAAGATAATTATTATATCCATTCTGTAGATAAGAAAGCGGAGTTTTTAGAAGGATGAAGTAACTTATCTAAGGTCACAAAGATAGCAAGGGGTATGGAGATTAATCAAAGTTAATCTAACTTCACCAAACAGTCTGGCTTCTAGTGACTCTAGCAATGACTGGCTCAGCTGTGCTTGGATGTAAGGACAATGATGTCTGCTCTGCATAGAAATTCACTTCAGGGACACCTGGGTGGCTCGGCCAACTCCAGCTCAGGTCATGATCAGGTCATGGCTTGTGAGTTTAAGGCCTGCGTTGGCCTCTCTGCTAACAGCTAAGAGCCTGGAGCCTGCCTGCCTCCGATTCTGTGCCCCTCTCTCCCTCTGCCCCTCCCCTGCTCATGCTCTGTCTCTCTTTCTCTCTCTCTCTCTCAAGAATAAATAAACATTAAAAAAATTTTTTTAAAGGAAATTCACTTCAAATTGGTGGGAATTTAAGAAAATCTGCAGATATGTAAATATGTGATAATGTAAAATAATTTTATAAATAAAAGGGAACTGCAGGAAAAATGGGATAATATGAAAAAATTTTTAAATAGATAAAATGGGATAATATGAAAAAAATTTGTAAATACATTATATGATTTACTATACTGAAAAACAAACCCTAAGGTCAATTAAATTTGAAAAAAATGAAAGCTGACTAGCTGCAAAGAAAATGATCTGAGTTTTCCTCAGGAATACTTAGGTATTCTCCTTCGGCTACTTGCAGGTATCTTTCCCTCTCACCTCCTACACATTTGCCACCTCTGTCTAAACAACGGCTACAGTTCTGAGCCTTACAGGTTTAAAACCGGCGACAACTACGGAAACACGTTTGAAGCGCACGGTAACTCTGTCCGGAAGTACGGGGCCAGCAGCTTAACACCACGGTCTGCTTACAAAGGCTCTGTCAGGACGGCTCCAAAAAGTGGAAAGCAAGAATTAAAGTTTAGAGCACATATTATGTATTTTTAAAATCTACAGTATTCCTTGAGGTCCTTAGAAGAGCTGAGATGAATCTTTTAAAGATACCGCTGCACATACAATCAAATACATTGTCAGTGAACAGGAATTCTTAGGAAGAGGGTAATTTTTGCATTTCCTCACCTTTTACATATTTTTGATAGCCTTATAAATTTGGAGATCTATCTCGGGGATTATGCTAAGATTATTAGGAACTATGACTTCAGACTTCAAGGATCTTATGATAAAAAATCGTGTCCTAAATATAGCCACTTAACTAACCCAAATTTTGAAACAAAATCAAACACTTTAATAAAATCCAAAGCACAGGCATATCTTTTAGTACATATCTTTTGTAGTGCTTCCATGAAAACATTCATTTATTCATGTAATAAATATTTGAGCACAGGACTATGCTAGGCACTGTAATTAGAGGCAATTAAAACAGTCCCCACTTACAGGGAAATAACTGCTGGAAAGGGAGGAGGATCTGTAAACAGGGAAATGATGCGGAACGGTAAGTACCAAAATAAAGGTATGAACATACTCCAAAACTATACATAAACTATACATAACTAATGCACTCTCTAAAGGCTAAACACTCCGAAAAGCTAAACTCAGAACAGCAGAATGCAAGAAAAGTTAATATTTATATTAAAGTTGGTGTACACATTTTGTCTATGACAGTTGACCATAAACTTTCCTGGGTAGGTTTTTATGTATGAAAGTCTATGATACTTTATCTGGGATATTATTTTTTAATTGGTCTTACTGTGGATCTATTTACTTTAATCCCATTTCATAAATTATAATTTTGGATAGTCTAATGCTGTTGTATGCCATGTTTACAATTTAGTTATTAGTTTCAAAGCAGAATCCTTTTAATTCTTTGTATGCTACAGGTAACTTTGAAACAATGCATCACATAGTTCCTGTTTATTACCCACAGGTGGGTAAGCCAAAATTAATTTTTTTCTCTGATATACCGAGATATTTTGTAAATGGAAATGCATCCTCAGAAAGCTCCCAAGAAGATAACCCTAAAATTACTGAAGATATGAGGTAGGTTCTTTCAAATATTTGTGTTTCTTTCTTGGGGGAAGATGGGGGAAGAGGGGATACCCTGTTAACAACACAGAGGAAGAGAGTCCCTCCAGCTGTCTCCTTGTTCTCTGTTCGCAATTCTTGACCAAGCACAACCCCCCGCCCAAATAGTTCAGTTCATTATTGGTCTGCTCAAATAATCACATAGTTGTGGTGGAACGACTAGTTCAAGAAGAGCTGGGAGTCATAAACTATATGTAATCACTGAGGTAGGGCCAACGACTCAGGACAGCCCCAGGAGCAGCAGGTAAAGATGTCTGAATGAGCAGGGATCGTATCAAAGGAGACTGAGGCCCAGTTGATGTTGGGTGGTCCACTAGTGGGTAGATGACAGTGCCAAGGGCATCTGGTGGCAGAAACGAGGGGAAACCCAGAGCAGAGCAGTACAAAGGTAGGCTATTCTTACCATTTCCCCAAATCAAAGGTTCTTAATCTGGTGTCCCTGAAGGAGACGTTAGAAGTTTCATTAGATTCTCAAAGAGGTTTATGATCTAAAAAATTAGTTTAAGAGTCACTATTCTAAACCTTGAGTATATGTATAAGGTAGCTCTATATGAATCAACTTTTAAGTTTCCTGATAAGGAGAAAATTGCTTTTTTAGTTTTAAGAAATGATATTGCTTCAATGTAAAGATAAACCATACCAGAAAAGAAGTTTATTTATTCATAAAACTAAAAAGCACCTGCTACATGCTGGGCAATACTGAATATAAAAACTCAAATGAGATAGTCCTGATCTCAAAAATTTTGCAACTAGCTGGTTGGAGAGTCAAATGTGATACAATCACTGTAGCATGTGATAAATGCTATGAACATTAGGAGTCAGGTCCTAATACATCCTACAAATTATTTATTCAACTTTTTCTCATTTATAGCCCAATTGATTTTTCTAATCATATCATGGTAGTCAATACAATGTAATGTAATGAAAGGGGCAACGGTGTATTGCATTGAGAAAGTAATCAGAGCCAGGGTACATACCCTAGAATAGATTTCCTTTTTCGAGAACTGCCTGCTGAAGATCAGGTAGGTTTATCATGGGACCCTCTTTACAGAGTCTGGTCAAGGAACGGTGACTTAGCATTCCGTAACGAAGCCCACCTAGAGAAGACCGAGGCGTATTGTCCTACCCTCATTCCCTGGAGTGCGACTTAGACTTGCGGAGAAGGAGGCATAAGGGAGAAGGGTCTCTGGAAAATGCTTTATTTGGGAAGAGGGAAAATGGTATGGAGGGAGTCCTAGTCTTGCCTCATCTCCATTCACCAAAAACAAACAAAAAAACACAGAAGCTGCATGAGAATTTGCTTTACTGCTTACGTCCTTTGCCATTACCAGCAAAACCTCAGCCACTCTGTCCATGGCACCCCGGTAGTTTCTAAAAGATTTACACAACTAGTGTCAATTCCATGACAGTGTTCTTCAGTTTCATTTCTTTGCCAAGCATTTTGAAAGTTCTTGCTAATAGATCATCAAGGTGGAAAGGAAAACAATAAAAATGGACACAGACTCAGAAAACAGTGTTGGTAAATTCTAATACACTGCCACACACACTGTTAGATCAGTCGTAAACTGTTGCACATACCGTGTATTCTACAGCCCCAAGCAAAGCTCTAATCACTGCACTGACAAAATAGCAAATGAATCATTCTATCCTCATGTTCGTAACTAGGAACACTCATCTCTAACTACCATGAACTGCAAAGATGGGCTGCTTTAAAAGAAGCTGGCAGAATAGAGAGGCTCCTGTGAGAAGAAAATAATGTCTTGCTTCTGTCACTGGCAATGAAGTCAATTATGTTCAATCCCAAATCTTCAGTTTTATAATGTGAAAAAATATTTTTGCTTTAAAGATGTTTTATTTCTGGGGTGCCTAGGTGGTTCAGTCGGTTAAGCGTCTGATTTCAGCTCAGCTCATGATTTCACAGTTCATGATTTCAAGCCCCATGTCGGGCTCTGTGCTGACAGCTCAGAGCCTGGACCCTGCTTTGGATTCTGTGGCTCCCTCTCTCTCTGTCCGTTCCCCACTCACTCTCCATCTCTCTCTCTCAAAAATAAACAAAAAACATTAAAAAAATTAAAAGGTTTCTATTCCTTCAGATAACATTTGTACTGAGGGCATACTAAAACATCATTTTGGTATCATAAAATATTTAAGTTTACTAAATGGAAATATCAGTTCTACCTCTCTTTATTAAAAGGTGACCAATATGGAATTTCATTAAGCTCTTGGTAAAGATTTTTATTGTGTGCCTATTGCTAACATTTTATGAATTTAGCATAAAACAAGAGATAATGAGAATAAAGCTAGGTCACTGAGGTGTTAGAAAAAGACCAACCCAAACAGAAAGAATACATTTTTATACCTAAAAATCTAGGAAGTTGACGAAAACAACTCCTTCCCTTAATTAACTTAAGGGAAGAATGAGCTAGCATCAGCAGACATGTCACCTACAGTCTACATTTAATGCTCAGAGGTATAAAGGAGCTTAGAATCTTCTTCCAAAATGATAAAAGTATGTGTCCCATACTCCTTTAAGGTTCTGCACATTAGGACCTGTGTTCATATCTATGTGAACACAGTGAAGCAACATCTGTCCAATGACAGGGGAATGTTTTCCACCTTCTTTATAAATGTGTGCAGTCTGTGCTCATGTATATTTATACAAGACTGCTTTCCCTACAGGGAGGAAAAAGTCAGACTCACTGACGTTGTTTTTGACCCTCAAACTGAACTTGATACTATCAATGTACACTTTAATTAAAGATTAGCTCAAAACTATTTTTTATCTAAAGGCTGACTGTAAACAAATGCCTTGACTGTTCAATTAAAAATAATTTATGGTATTAAAAAGATTGTTTCTTTCTGTGTGTGTCACAGTAAATACTTTTGACAGGTGTTTCCTCTCTTTTCAATCATGCTAGGAGGTGCTTGAGACTTAGTAATTTTTAAATAGACATTAAATGCATTTACATATTGTAAATAAGATCCACTGAGACTACTGTAGAGCACTGTACACTGAAGGAAGCAAATTGTTACTTGATTATTTATCTTTAAACCCTAAGCTATGTCCATAGAGTCAATCCATCTCTTTTGTTACTGTAAAAATAACTGTGTAGCTGGGTAGAATGGCCTTAGGTTTCAGATACCTTCAAGGAATGTGAATCTCTGGGACCCATAATTCACAGGAAATGTTAAATGTATGTTACTTAACTATTTATAAAATACCTACTATCTTTAGTTAGAATATGGAAGTATTAGGTTTCTTTGAGTTAAAAAGTGAACTTTAAAAACAGTGAAAACAACTTGCTTTCACCACTGCTAAGACTATGTTTGAACAGTTGTAACAACAGTTCTCTGTGTCTCATGAGTTTTTAAAACTTAGGTAATATTTTTAGTTACAATCTCTGGGATGATCTTACAGAAACCCATCTGCAAAACTCTAAATTCCTTTAATTATGCTATGATAAACCTAACATCAGTCTAATAAATCTTATATGCAAAATAAACTTCTATTTCTAATTTAAGACTTACAGTTAGTTGTCAAATAACTTCTAAAATTAGGACATCCCCCTCAAAAAGAGCATTAGTGGTAAGCAACAAAGGTTTGGTGTTGTTTGTTTGTTTTTTTAGAACAATCTAAGCTAGGTTTTATGACTTCTAGTTTCAACTCTGTCAATGGCTTAGCTTACTCTGTGGACAAGAGTTATATAAGATCTAATTTTTAAGAATTATGTTATTTCCCATTTTATTTTTTAAGGAAGTCATTTTTTAAAGTTTATTTTATTCTGAGAGAGAGACAGCAAGCCAGTGGGGAGGGACACCAAGAGGGAAAGAGAGAATTCCAAGCAGCCTCAGCACTTTCAGCGTGGGGCTTGAACCCATGAACCATGAGATCATAACCTGAGCCTAAACCAAGAGTCCGATACTCAAAACGACTAAGCCACCCAGGTGCCCCAGTATATTCCATTTTAAAATGTCTACTTTGATGCCTGAATCTTAACTACCCCCAAACAAATTTTTCAAAACAGCAGAACCTGTTGAGATAAGAATGAGACGAGGAAAATGAACATTGGAGACGCTCAGCCAGAGAGGGATCCAAAGTCACACAACTGCCATGAGGCAGAGCTGGAACTTGAATTGAGGTCACTGACTCTAAAAACCAAGCCCTCAACAACTCTGCAAGGGGGGGGGGGGGCTCTCAAAAACGCCCTCAGGCAGAGGCAGATAAAATAAGGGAAATAGGGAGAATGTGACCGAGGTGAACTGGAGAGCACGTGTCCAACGAAAGGCACCTGCAGCTACTCTGCTCCAAAACAGTTAGCCAGGCGGACGTGCTGAACTTGAGAAATCTTAGCCTCGCTGGTAGGCCAGACATCTAGATTAAGAAATCAACTGATTTTAGAATATTGAGTCAACAATTTTTCTTTAAAAAAATCTATTAAAATGGATAAAAAGAAATCGAATATGGTAATGACAGCACAGATACGGAGCAAGTGGGGCTCCAGTGCATACTGGCGGGAAGGCAGAGATAGTGCAGCCGCTTTGGGAAAATACTCAGACATGGTTTTATAAAGTTAAATATGTACTCACCACATCTAACAGTCCCACCCAAGGTGACTTGAACACCTATCTTCCCACAAAAATCTGTACCCAGATGTTTATAGTGGCTTATTCACGATCACCAGAAACTGAAAACAAGCCAAAGCTCTCCCATTGCAGGATGGATCAGCAAACGGTGGTAAATCCATGCAATGGAACACTACTCAAAATTAAAAAGGAATGAACTAGTGATACTCAAAACAACATGGATAGATCTCAAACGCATTCTGCTCAGTAAAAGAAGCCAACCTAAAAGGCTGTATGATTCTATGATGTTCTGGCAAAAGGGAAACTACAGAGACAGAAAACAGATCAGTAACGGGCAAGACCTAGGGTTACGTGCGAGCTGGGATGATGAAATGCTGCATCTCGTTGCTGTGGTAGTTTTTAGCAAAACTTGCTGGACTATATACTCAAAAGGGTGAATTTAATTACGTAAATTATACTTTAAACAATAAGGGAAATAGTTGACAGGTGAAAAAAAGCATTGATTATATAAAACCTATTGTTTTATTATAGTATACATTTATACATATAAAATGCAACAGTATATTTTCTTCACCGATATGTGTGTTTATTTTACATTATAAAGACGGGAAGCTAATGACAATTTGACATAATTGGAAAGACCTCTAATTTTACGATCTACACCACACACTGTGAAACAAACTCTATAACACTCTAAAGCCTTCTACCTTCTGGAAGACTAAACAAGAACTCCAAACAGTCCAATAATATACTCTACCATGAAAATAGTATTTGAATTGTTAATAAGGAGTCAAGTTAAAATATTAACTTTATTGAAATAATAGATACAAAAAATGTTTTGCAAGTAATGAAGAACTCTACAGATATTAAATTGTAATTTGTATGGTAAATTTCAGTTTGTATGGTAAAAAGCACAAGTATTAGGGTGAATCCGCCTAGCTTGAATCCTCTCTCCGCCACTTATTAGCTGTGTGACTTTCACAAGTTACTTAATCTCTCTGAGCTTTCTCTTCCCAACCATAAAATGTAAAATCCTCAGAGTTTTTGCAGACTGAATGAAAAAATAAAGTGCTTTTTTGGAAAGCACTGAGCACGTATAAAAAGTTAAATAAGGGGCCGGTTACTAACGTATGTAATGTTGAAGATTTGAGGAGGATTCAGACAGGCTGCTTAGGGCAGCAGCAGGTAAGACCCGGTGGCCCTCAGTCGTCAGGACTGTTTCATCAGTCCTTTCTTTTGAACCTGACTGTCGGCAACAAAGCTGTCCATTGTCCAGCCCGTTCCGGGTGGGCGCTTCCCGGGACCCCACCGCCAGCCCAGCGGCGGCGCCAGCAGGCGGGCTGAGGCCCGGGAGATGCCGGGGTGCGCAAGTTAGGGCGCCCTGCGCACCTAATCCGCCTCACCCTCGCCTCGGCCCCCTTCCTTCCAAAATCTGTACTTCCACACTTTTCCCAACACGTAGGTTCCCACATTCTTCCTACTCCGGGGAAGCAGGTGAATCTTGCTTCCTGAAGCCTGAAGGGACTCACCCAGGTTAGTGACTAGCTTTCCCGGGGACTAGCGGCTTCTATTGTTGTAAGTTAGAGTCTGTGTGTTTGTGCCCGTTTCGGATGAATTTCATTTTTGAAATAATGTTGCTCTTTTTTTTCTCTATTAATACAGGAATCTCTCTTTGAAGGAATCTGAAAGGTTGCTGACCAAAAAATGATATGCATGAATTTCACCTCCATAACCCAAAGTAAAAGGAAATTTGTTTCTAAAAAAGATGAGTAAATTCATCCTTAAGTGCGCTTTAACATTTGTGGGTTTGTTTGTTTTTTTTACCTTTACCAGGCAAAATCGTCTTCTGTAATTTGTAGCTTTATGGTATCTCATTATGTACAGAAAACCTTTAAGTTGTTTGCTTCTTTACGCAACTGAAACATTGCTTTTCACTTGCTTTATGCCTCCTTCCATACAATTTACTGAGAAAATAAAGATGTGCTTCCTCACTCATCAAAAGTAAACCTCTCCTGAACCAGCGGTACTGTGGCGCGTTCCTTCCCCAGGTGTACATCTAAGGACAGTTACTGACTGGGAGTTGAAGGTATGCTGATTCACTCACACACCTAAGGTGGGGAACGACGTATTAAAATCCTAGCGTCCCCATTACCACACGCTACTCAAGAGTTCCTAAAAGTTTAAAAATCTATTGTAAAGACATTATGTCACGTATACAACAGCGGATTCATTAATGATATCTCAAACTTGCTCTTGTCTTGACTCGGAGGAAGATGGAAGATTTCTAAACGTCCTGCTCTTCGAATTACAGGCATTATTTCCAGGATGTACTAATTACGTTCTAGAAGACACCGCGCGTCCACTAGGACTCCACCTTGGGGGCCACGCACGGGTCCCCAGGCCCCGCGGGAGCCGCAGGGTAGGGGCGTCTCGGCCCGGCCGCCTCCACACGAGCCGGGTGACTCCCACCCGCGCGCGGCCTCTCGGGCGAGGTCCCCGCAGGAGGGCGGGGCCGGGACAGATTTTAGGTCAAAGAAAAAGAAACAAGCCGGGGCCCCGCGTGTGCGACCGGGGAAAGACGACCGCGACCCCGGGCTGTCGGCCCGGGTCTGAGGAGCGTCAGGCGCCACAGCGATGAACCAGTCCCGCACTTCCGAGGCGGAGGCCAAACGGCCGCAAGCCGTCGGGGCGCACGGAGCATTACCTGGGCGGTGAGCAGTAGGGCGGCGCTTCCTCGGAAGCTAAGGCGCTCCCCACGAGACGCCGGCGCGGCGGGCGCGCGGAGCCCGACGCCGCCGCCGCCGCCCCGCCCGCGGCGCCCGGAGCGGCCGCGGCGCGGACCGCGACGCGGGGGCGGGGCCAGGAGCACGCCCCGCCCCGCCCGACGTTTGATTAACGACTCCCGGCGCCAGGCGGGGCTCCTCAGGTGGGCGCGTGCCGCCGCTCGCAGGGCTGCTCCGCCTGCCGTCGAGTGTGGCCCGCACGCGCCTGGCCACCGGGGCGCCCGCACCACAGGGGCTGGGGGCGGCCGCGGACGTCGGCTAGACGAGGATGGAGTGACCCGTGCGGCCCTGGACGCGCAGACCCAGCTGGACGCCCCCCGTCCGCCGGCGCCGCGGAGCCGAGCCCTGCGCTGCGCCTCCAGGAAAGGTGAGGCCCTCGGTTCGACCCCCGTCGCGACGCTTGGTCCCCAGGTTTCGGAGGCGTGGCGGGCGTCTTGGGCCGAGGTGAGGTCGGGGCCCCCGTCTCCCCCCGTGGGAGTGAGGAGGAGCTCCCGCAGCCACCCCGGGGTCCGCGGCCTCGAGAGCGGAGGCGCACGGCCGGCCCGCGCGCGCGCCGAGGCCGGGGGCGGCCAGGGCTGCCCGCTGCGCCCGCGCCGTGTTCCCTGCGCGGCGGGCGCCCGGCGTGAGCGGCCGAGCTCTGCGTCCGACGTCTCCCTCCGCGGTGGAGTCGCCGTCACTCCTTGTCCGTGAAAGTGAGGCGGGCGCCGCGCCCCCCCCTCGCCCCCCAGCCCCGGAGCGGGCAGGCCCCGCCGCCCTCCCCGACGCGGGGAGGCAAACGCGCCGCGTCCAGACGCCCTCGCCCCGAGCACGCCCCGGGCCTCCGCCTGCCCGGCCTCACCGCGCCTCGGCTCCTCCGCAGGGCACGCGGCGCGGGAAGCCGCCATGGACCGCGACGGCCCCGCGCGCAGCGCCTTGATCGCCAGCGACCGGCCCGCGCCCGCCGCCCCCCGCGCCCCGAGCCCGGGCCGGGCGGGGGCGGGGGCGCGGGCGGGCGGCGGGCGGCCGGCGGCGGCGAACGCGGCGCGGGAGCGGAGCCGCGTGCAGACCCTGCGGCTCGCCTTCCTGGAGCTGCAGCGCGCGCTGCCGGCCGTGCCGCCCGACACCAAGCTGTCCAAGCTGGACGTGCTGCTGCTGGCCACCACCTACATCGCGCACCTCACCCGCAGCCTGCAGGACGACGCCGGCGCGCCGGCCGACCCCGCGCCCGGGCCCCTGCGCGGCGACGGCTACCTGCACCCCGTCAAGGTAGGCAGGCGGGTCGGCCCCCTGCGGGGCTGGGCGCCGCGCCCTCCCGCTCCCGCGGGGCCCGGAGAGAGCTCGTCCCGCCGCGCACGGGCGGCGACGTCCCCGCTGCAAACGGCTACCTGGTAACTTGGCCGGTAGTGGATTTAACCCCGAGCGGGTGTAGGGAGGGGTGGCTCGCGCCTCTTCCAGGACGCAGCCTCCGCAGTGCCTCCTAAGTGGAACCTTTTGGGGGGGTGGGGGGGGGGCCGGCACGGTGTTCGGTTGGCGGGTTCTGGTGATTTCTAGAATCAAGAGTTACATTTATGAGCCTCTGAGAGTTTTTAAGTTTTTAATTTACATAATTACATTTCCATTCTGGTTTTTATCAAACGTTTGAAAAGTGTAATTAATTAAAGGGGGTGACAGAATTATTGCCCTTTAAATAATACAGGAAATAAGAGTTTAAATTTTTTTGTAAACCTGTTAAGAACAAAATGAGACCTTTCTGCCATCCTAGGGAGTCAATTTTCAGTCCCTTTTAATAAAGGCTAATTATTCATGGGTTAGGCAGTTGCCTAGAATGTTAGAAAAACAAGAATTGTTTATGTAATTTTCACAGCAGATTGGCCCATGTTAATCAAGCAGATACAATACTATATTCAAATTCGTGTTGTGCCAAATTAGCCCGTAGCGTCCGTTTTGTATAACTTTTTACATTACATATAGATAAAATGGTCAGAGTTTTCATTTAATATAGTGTATATGATTATGATTACCTGTATTGCAGTATTTAGACTTTGCATCATCCTTTTCGCCTAAGATTTGTTTTGTAATCGAGCATTCATCTGGCTTTGTTCAAAATACACCATCTTCCCTATTTCCTCCAAACCTAAATTTTTGAATTTTTGGTTCTACATTTTGTCACACACACGCAAACACAAGATTAGGACTTAGCCTTAAGCATATCAGTGTTCAATAAATTATTGAATAATCATCATTGAAATGTGGTAAAGTCCACTAATACACTCTACTTAAAATTCTGTGTTGAAGTTCAGATTTACAATCAACATGATGTTAGGTTCAAAGTATTTCAAATCTAGAAATTTGGAATTTCATTTATTTATGATTATGATAGGCCTTATTACGTTCATATGATATATAGTATAATCTCTGCTGAAAAGTCATTCATTGATAATTAGGGGGTTTGCCCTACAGTCTGCTTTGGATTTATATTCAAATGTATCATTAATATTATTAGATTTCTTTTGGCTTGACATTTTTCATATACTCTAAAACAAGTTTAACATTAAATAGACTTTAATACCAAAAGTGTCTCTTAAGTGCCTCTGTAGGAGATACAATTCAGATAAGAAATCAACTTGTTTTCACCTTTGTTTCTTGTAGTATCTTTTTGGATGAATACTATTAATTTTCATGTGACAATAAGCTTAACAAGAGCTTTTCTGTACTTGTTTTTTCAGGTACCAAATGTTTTTGTAGTCCTTTAACTCATTTTAAAAAATTAAATCTCGTTTGCCCTTGAACCAGTTATTTTCATTTTAAAAGACAATCCTAGGGATAAAAAAAACAAGGCCAAGGATTACCTCCTTAAAATGAAATTGATGATGGTTGAACAAGTGACTGGTCTGTTTTAAAATTTACTGAGTGTCTACTGTGTGCAAAGCATTGTTAGGAGATTGAATACAATTAAGACTAAGACTCAATCTCTACCTTAAATGAACACATAATAAAGACAAAGACAAAAATAAAGCAACAGTCTGTAAGGGGTAATGTTCTGTGTGCCATAGGAGAGCTGTAACCATGTGCTGCGGAGGTTTGGAGGAAAGAGAGTTCATACACATAATTGAAACCACCTGTAACACATTATTTTATGGACACGCTTAAGTATTAAGTCTATCTTTGATTAACTAATGCAAAAGGAATAAAAATATTCTGGTTATTTGTACTTTCGGTTAACAGTTAAAAAATGTTCCAAGATTCTGCCTCACACCATAGTATAGCTATGTCTTTGATGATTAAAGATCTGTTAACAAACATTTCCAGGCCATGATTTTGAATCATCAGTCCTTATTATCGGTATTGGGGTCTAGCATTTTGGGAGATTTACCTTAAGAGTATCTCAAATGAAACTGGAAAGTTCAAGTGAATGGGTTCCTGGGGAATAGCCTGAAAGAGCAGTTTGCATTCCTTGGGATGTGAGCAATGTGATCAGCACCAATGCACCAAATCGCAGTGATTCTGCAGGAGAGCAGGGATGTATTTCAGATTCTGAATATATTTCAGGAGAAAAGCACAAATGACTTTATTAATTGCCTTACCCTTGGAGATTCAATGTTGATAATATACATATAAAATAATTTAAAAAATAAATACAAGGTTTTGTCATTGTGGGGTCCAAAATCCAAAAGTGCATTTTTAAGATTTTCAGGGTTAATTCAGTTAATTGTATGAGTTTACTTAGATTGTTCTAAGCCTAATGAAACAACATGGTTTCAAATAAACTTTAATAGGTAAAATAGAGGTCAGAATTGTGTTAATCTACAGTGTTAAAACAGACCAGTGAGAAATGAAATGTAAATCCATCAGCTGGCTTTTTTGGCATGACGCTGACATGCAGACTAACCAATATTGTATTCACATTTTATTTCTGTCTCTTTATACTATGTATGTACAGTAAATTCAGTTGAATAAAATCAGTAGAAGCCTTTTTGAAAATCGAAGTAGAAATTTCTTAAAATAGAAAGTTTTATTATTAAGTTCATGAAAAATGAGGCAAAAATCCATATATGCATTTTTAAAATTTTATTTATTTTTTAGTCATCTCTACACCCATCGCGGGGCCTGAACTCCTGACCCTGAGATTAAGAGTCACACAGTCCGGGGGCGCCTGGGTGGCTCAGTCAGTTAAATGTCTGACTCTTGATTTCGGCTCAGGTCATGATTTAACATTTCGTGAAATTGTGCCACACATGGGGCCTGGTGCCGACAGCAGGGAGCCTGCTTGGGATTCTCTCTTGTACACATTCCCATGCGCTATCTCAGGCTCTCTCAAAATAAATAAATATATTTTTTAAAGACCTGAAATGGAGTTGCAAAAATAAGAACACTGTCAACCTTATTACCGTAACAAATGTAAAATATAAGGTTATTTATAGGAAGATTACATAGGAGTAGGCCATTGTAAATTCTAAGTAACACAGATTTTATGTTCTGTGTTTAAACTATAGATATCCAGCCAAAATAATCTGAATTTGGGACTCTAAAATGGACCTGAACTGCAGGAGAGCAAATTCACTTATCATATCTGGAGGCATAAAAATAGGACTTTTGTTGGTTGCTAAGAACAGAAACTTCCTGGATAATATCACATGCCTACTTATTATCCCTTATAGCTACATTTTACATCTGGAATGCCAGTTTAGGTGAAAGTAACTGTACTCAGAAGTACCTTATACTCATCTTCTGCAAAAAGAAGTCCATTCTGATTTAATTGGTCTGATGTGTGACTTGGTCATCAGTCTTTTTTATTTATTTATTTTTTTACACAGGTTCTTTTTTTTTTTTTAATGTTGTATTTGTTTTTTAGAGAAAGAGACAGACAAACAGCATGAGCAGGGGAGCGTCAGAGAGGGAGACACAGAATGTGAAGCAGGTTCCAGGCTCCAAGCTGTCAGCACAGAGCCCGACGTCGGGCTCAAACCCACGAACCGGGAAGATCATGACCTGAGCTGTAGTCGGGCATTTAACCAACTGAGCCACCCAGGCGCCCCATCGTCAGTCTTTTTTAAAGCTCTTATGGTCTCTGCCTTGTTAATAATTGTATCTCTATTTGAACACCGCAGATTATCTGTCAGGAGTTTAAGAACATTTCATGGTGCTTTTAGCTGGCAGTCTGCCTGTAAATGTTCAGTGATAAAAATAGCCTGCTGATCATGACAGCATTTACTCCCTATAAAGTGTGGGATCCCATTACCGACCTTTGGAAGTTAAACTTTATTAGTCTAAAGGCTTCTTTCTCCTTGTATAAAAGTAGTATTTCTCGGGGCACCTGGATGGCTCAGTCAGTTGAGCGTCCGACAGCGCTCAGGTCATGTTCACAGTTCATGAGTTTGAGCCCCACATTGGGCTCTGTGCCAACAGCTCAAAGCCTGGATCCTGCTTCAGATTCTGCGTCTCCCTTTCTCTCTCTCTCTGCCCCTCCCCAACTCATGCGCTGTCTCTCTCTCTCAGAAATATATAAACATTAAAAAAATTAAAAGTAGTATTTCTCTGATTAGTATTCCAAGGACCTATTACAAAACTATCAGACAACCCCCCAAATTCTGAAAGTACTACTTATGTAATATGTTTTTTCATCATAATGTCTATTTGGAAATAAGTTATATTATTTTTTTAATGTTTATTTATTTTTGAGAGAGAAAGAGAAAGCACAAGCCTGGGGTGAGGCAGAGAGAGAGGGAGACACAGAATCTGAAGCAGGCCCCAGGCTCTGAGCTGCCAGCACAGAGCCTGACACAGGGCTTGAACCCACGAACCATGAGATCATGACCTTGAGCTGAAGTCAGACGCTTAACCAACTGAGCCACCCAGGTACCCCAAGTTATATTATTTTTGAGAAGTCCATTTTTAAAATGAATTTAGAAAAGTTGCAATCAAAATACAAATGTGATAACTACTGAAAGATTAGTGCTCTATGATGCTGCTACATCCAGGTATTTATTTTAAATGTTTTATCTATATAACACCAAACATTCTAATATTTACAACTTTGAGATACTGCTTTTAGCTAGATAAAATGTTTAGATTGTTGAATTAGTCACTTTTCATTATAGTTCTGTGACAAGTGGAGACATAATATTTACCATGTATTACTTTTTATTTTTTTTTAAAAATTTTTTTTCTAGGAGAGAGAGAGAGCGTGAGCAGGGGAGGGTCAGAGAGAGAGGGAGACACAGACTCCAAAATAGGCTCCAGGCTCTGAGCTGGCAGTCAGCACAGAGCCGGACGCGGGGCTCGAACCCACGAACCGCGAGATCATGACCTAAGCGAAAGTCGGACGCTTAACCAACTAAGCCACCCAGGCGCCCCCATGTATTACTTTTTAAAATATCTTTAAAACCAGGAGTCTTGTTTTAGGCTTAGCTTTGCTTTAGGTTTAGTTTTTGTTTTTTATTTATTTATTTAATTTATTTATTTATTTTGAGAGAGAGAGAGAGAGAGACAGAATCTGAAGCAGGCTCCAGGCTCTGAGCTGTCAGCACAGAGCCTAACGGGGGGATGGGGAGGGGGGTGCTGGAACTCATAAACTGTGAGATCATTACCTGAGCCAGCCAAAGTCGGGCCCAGCTGAGCCACCCAGGTGCCTAATGTTTATGTATTTTTGAGAGTGAGTGTAAGCAGGGGAGAGGCGGAGAGAGAGAATCCCAAACAGGCTCCACACTGTCAGCACAGAGCCCAACACAGTTCAAACTCACAAACAATGAGATCATGACCTGAGCCAAAGTCAGACACTTAACCGACTAAACCACCCGGGTACCCCTATGTTTACTTTTATTGTTAGCATTAATAAACAGTATATCATGTTGTTCCTTAGATTTCACAGTTACAGTTGTTACAAATGTCATGATAATTGGATTTGCCTTGAGGCATTTGCATTTTTAGTATTACTATTACAGGCATATCTGTCATAGATACTAACTTTTGGATTCTTGTTTAAATATTCTTTTTCAGAAATGGCCCATGCGATCAAGATTATACACTGGTGCTACCGGTCAGTTTCTGAAGCATTCTGTGTCTGAAGAAAGAGCAAATCATGGCAGTACTACCACAGACTCACAGCCTTAGGCTTTCCTCTAAAGGGTGCTGGTAGAAAGCGGCATGATTTTTAAATCATAGGAAATCATTCTATATTTATTACATCAGACCTAACAAACATCATTCCTGAAAGCTTACATTTGCATTCTGGTTGGAAGTTCAGATTTATCTGTCTAATATAAATAAATGTGGATTTCAATAATTGGTCTTATATAAAACACCCAGCTTATCTATTGTGAGAGATAGTCACTACTTTATACTGTAAGGAAAACTATTGAAAAAAAAGAAAAACACCAAAATCAAAGAATTATGTACGTATAAAAAGAATGCACACATTTTCTGTAGTAAATTTAGCACACACTGAAAACCTGGTATCAATAGTCTTGATATGTTAAAAAAAAAAAAAAAAAGACCCCAGTATTCCATCTTTGTGAAACCCAGTTTGTCCTTAAAGTTGGTCTGAGAAGCCATTTCAGTCAGAAAGTGTGAGATCATGTATTCAGTTTTAGCTAAACACGTGTGAAAAGACTGTTGAGATAATATGAAGTTGCAGTAACTTCTATAACGAGTTATTTTTCCCTCTTAGAAAACTTGGAGTATTAGAATAGTTTGCTGTATTGGACAGGGCTTGGCCACCTTCCTAGATGACTGTTAAACATCTTACTATGTTTCCAACTTGTGTAGGCTCTGGAGGCCCTGCAGCCCAGCGTGAATAGCAGGGGAGGGCCAGTGGGCAGTAGGGTTTGCCACCCTCCCCGCTCGTTACTCCATCTCCGTCCCACCCTCGTTCAGGCCCTGGACTAGATGAGCAGATGCAGCCGCAGCCACCTTGCAGCGCCAAGCCCTTCGGGCTTCCAGTGAATGCCCATGACCCTTGACAAGTCACCGCTTTGGCTAGGCTCCTTCTCCCCCTTGCCGGTTGCTATTCACAATCTACCTACTCGGCCAGGGCGCCTGGGTGGCTTAGTCAGTTAAGCGGCTGACTTCTTGGGACATGACCTCACCGTTCATAGTTCAAGCCCTGTGTCTGACTCTGCTGACAGCTCGGAGCCTGGAGCCTGCTTTGGATTCTGTGTCTCCCTCTCTCTCTGCCTCCTCCACTGCTCATGCTCTCTCAAAAATAAACATGAAAAATTTTTTAAAAAATAGGAAAAAAACCTGTGTGATTTGGGAATTCTGGCACTGATCTGCACCTTGAGAGGGTCTGAGGTCACAGAGTGACTACCCTGAGATAAGCCAGCCCGGAGGAGACCCCACTGAATGTGCCCCAATTTAAGCTACAACCAGGAAGGCCCCCTGCTATGGGCCTCTCCCGCCACACTACACACCACATGCCCAGGGAGCTGCTCTTCTGTCTGACTGCGCCAGTTTCAGTTTTCAACAGGAACTTGGGGGTCAGAGCCAGAAAGCATGCCCGGGAACACACTGGAATTTCAAAATAGAGTGTAATAGACATTTAAAAAATCATCAGTCTCTTATCATGTCTTTACTCCCTTTCTTTTTCTCCTCTGCCCTTACTATTCCACTTTCCAACTGTAAAGTTCATTTATTTCTAAATAACCCAGTGTTAAAGTAGCTGAATTTGATCCAGGATTAACAGACAGAAAGGTATATTAATGAGCTTATGGACTTAGTTGGATTAATACAGCTGTTGACCACCATTTTATTTTCTCCTCACCTCAGTTTTCTTCCAGCTTTTGACACTGAAATGATGGAAAAGACCATTTGAAGACAAAAACTGCCATTCAGTTGATTCGGCTGATCATGACCATATTTTGGTTCATACCTGATAGTCTGTAATTTTCGTTACTTTAATGTGAATACTCCTTGTAATGTGACCAAAGCATGTCTTTAAAAGAAAAAGCACATAATAAAAGCTTTCTGCATATAAATATGTAGCAAAAATGTTTACATACTTAAATATTTGTGAATATATTTACCCACTCATATGACATTGAAAGGAACAAAATGTAAAATGAGATATGAATTCGGCCATTCACTATTATAAGTTATTGCCATAAAAATAGAATAATCTTTTATCCTAAGGAATGAAATCAAACTTCTTTATAGTTACCTGAAACTAAACTCTGGATACTACATATGATAGCAAGAATTTCAGAAAAATGGTTTCCTTTCTAATAATAATCTATTTGGTTACAGTTGTTAAAGAATTTGGGGGAAAATAATGACTTTTGTTGAATTCATCTTGTTAAATAGCTAAGCTTTGCCTTTAACATTATTACTTTTTATTTCTTCTTGTCCACTTGCAAAAAAGAAATGTTTCAATGCCAAAGAAGTATATTTCTGTCATAGGTTCACATAGCATTTCATTAAATTGCTAAATATGCTAACAGCTTTTGGTAGGCTGGAAGATCTCAAGGGAGAAATTCCATATTTTCATCCAAAGGTTCAAAGGAGCATGCTGTTTTACTTAATGGTGCATGGTCAGGAAAAGGGTATTACTAAAATAAAGCATTAATTTGAAAATTAATTTAGTCTGTTAAATTTGCATCTGTCTCCGTGGATATTTAACAAATATTTAAGGTACATTTTACATTTTTCTAGTAGGTAACTGGCATTATACTCTTCACCATGCTTTCCTTAGTGGAGTATATATGGGTCTGGGGACAGGATATAGTTGGATCACAGTATATCCCATAGTCTGCAAAGAAAATCCTTAAATTTCTGTCATTTCACTCAGCTCTCAGGATGACCTACCTTTAAATTCCTCTGTCATGAACATTTTGGAGGATAGAGAAATGTCTTTAGAAGTATAACCGGTTCCAACAGACTTTAAAAATGTTTTTTCTGATTATAAAAATACAGTACAGTTTATTAAAAGTATACGTACCCACTTTAAAAATTATAACAATAAAAGGTATAATGTGGAAAGTACAAGCCCTACAATGGAAAAGGGTATTTGGGATATAGAGTAAGGGTGAGGAGATCTACGTTACCTGGGAGTAAAGAGTGGTTTTGCATGTTTATAAGGTTTATTTGGCTCAACTACTTCAATCTGCAGTTAAGATATCCTAAATAGTGGTTTTCTTATCTATCGATTCATGGAGACTTTATTTATTTATTTATTTTTATTTCTAGGGGAGAGAGAGACCGCGTGAGCAGGGGAGGGTCAGAGAGAGAGGGAGACACAGACTCTGAAACAGGCTCCAGGCTCTGAGCTGTCAGCACAGAGCCCGACGCGGGGCTCGAACCCATGAACCGCGAGATCATGACCTAAGCGAAAGTCGGACGCTTAACTGACTAAGCCACCCAGGCGCCCCATGGAGACTTTATTTAAACATAGAAGAAGCTGTGCAAAAGAAAATAAATGGTGATTGACCTTCCTGAAATTATGTCATTATTTTAGTTGAAATTGCTTTTTAGGTTAAATTATTCAATAATTTCGCTTTCTCTCACTGGGCCTCATTTTATAGTCATGAAAGCAACTAATCAGTTATTCCCAAGAAAAGAAAAAGTATTCAGGCTTAGTAAGATCTCTCTCTCTCTCTCTCTCTCTCTCTCACTAGTGGACAGAGATAATTCTCTATATATTTTCCAGCACATGATTTAATCTTTTTCTTTAAGCCTTCATATAGTGCCATTCTGAGGAAATAAGCCAATATAGAAAAACATCTCTATGGTGGCCTACATGAGTCCCTTAAAAATCAACACATGAATTGTATTTGGTATAGTTATAAGACAACTTGCTTGTTGGCTCCACATAAAAATTGTATTCTTAGCTGGAGGGGAAACGAAATTATAAATCAAAGAGACTGTTTATGATCCAAATTTATATATTAGATATCTGACTTTGAGAGGATGGCTTAATTCAAATACTCTTTCCTAACCCTGCGTAAGTTATTGCAGATTATAGCAATCCTATTTTATTTGAAAAGCTATGAACTTGAACTCTTCAAGCATTGGCAGATTCTGTTTTAATCTGGTAATAGATTTTTTTTTTAAATCATTGCTGGAGGATGTGATATCTACAGTTCCCCAAATGACTTAAAACTAGTAGTGTACTATTGCTACCTTTCTCCATGATACATGTTTTTAATTTTTTAGTTTTGTTTTTATTCTTACTGTAACTTTAAAAATATCCAGGAGTGCCTGGGTGGCTCAGTCGGTTGAGAATCCAACTCTTGGTTTCCGCTCAGGTCATGATCTCATGGTTTGTGAGTTCGAGCCCTGCATTGGGCTCCATGCTGATGGTGCAGAGCCTGCTTGGGATTCTCTTTCTCTCCCCATCTCTCTGCCCCTCCCCACCCCCCTGGGTCTCTCTCAAAAATAAATAAACTTTAATAAAAATATCCCAAAGCTAAGATTTCCAATTTTTAAAAGGAACACTAAGAAATATAAAATTGTAGATCTCAAAGAAATTAATATGTATTTCTGTTACATACTGGTAGCAGTATGAAACTGTTTTAACTGGAAAAAATGCCCCTTAAATCCTATAGATTTGCTTCCTACAGACCTTGAGGACAGCACAGTTGGGGACGTGGGACATTAAGTATTCTTGCCTAACTACATAAACTGGGAAGGGCTTCCCTTCCTATGTTTATACAAGTCTTAGTTTCAACTCATAAGAGAAACCAGCTCAGTGAAATATACCTCAATCACTCAAACTCTTTCATTATAAATTGTACCATAGCATTCAGCTGTCAGAAGCTTTTAAATTATAAACTGAAGAATAAACTTAACTATTAGGCTTAAAGATTATGTCAGTAGTCATTTCCTGTGCATATGATGTTACTGAAGAAACTCATGCATTCCTGCCTTCTCAGGACCAAGAAGTATGTCCATGGGGAGCTCTGGAGATGGACTTAAATCACTTGTCTCCATTTTTATGGTCAGTGTAAAGTCTAAATAAAAATTGATCTCAAACATTCTTATTTTCCAGTAAGTTCTGAAACCACTCAATTTAAAAATTTTAAACAGGTCTTACTATAAAGCATCTTAATGGTTTACATAGGTGGGTATATCATACAGATCAATATATTTTTTTAATTAAGTTGTATTTAAAAAAAAAAGCCCTGCACCAGACAGTTTCTCCTTTGTGTCCAGCCCTCTGTGCCTCTTGCTGATTGTAAGTTCCTATGCGGGAGGCATCTTGAAATGTAGGCTGTAACCAAGTGGGAAAAGTGATGTTCTTCGGCAGAAACGGGAGAAGGAAGAGAAGGAAGAATGGGGGGAAGGTGGAAGCTATTTCTACATCCTCCTTTCAGGAGGAGGAGGCCGGTTCCTCCATGGAACCGATCAGCCTGGAAGCGTTCTTCCGGGACACGCCGGAGACACTACCTTCAAACGGAGGCCTGACTTGGGGACAAGACCGGAACAGGAAATAGAGCCGCTAGCGCTGTGCCGCCCCGAGGGGCCCGGAGAGCAGCCCCACGGGGTCTCGGCAAGGACGAGGCCACGGCCGTCCTGCTTTCCCCCCTGGCCAGCCAGCCAGTGCCGGGGGCTGGACAATGTCTACAGGTGATGGTGGCGGCGGCACCGGTTTGACT